ACCCTAAGTCCGAAAACAAAGAGTCTAAATTCCCAATACCTCTTATTACCCTAAGTCCGAAAACAAAGAGTCTAAATTCCCAACAACCACTAAACCCACTAATCCTAAGTCCGAAAACAAAGAGTCTAAATTCCCAACAACCACTAAACCCACTAATCCGCTAAACCCCAAAGCCCTTGCCTACAGCTGATTTTTGTGGTGATCCCCAGGAGTATTGTGTCTTGTACAACACGTGGCTGAAAGCCGACACCTATTTGTGGGTGGAGCATCTCATCAGCACGTCCAACATCGAAGAGTGGAAAAGCTCTGTGAGTGTGGAATGCACCGAGACGATCCCCGATTCCTGGAGCGAAAAGCTCGAAATATCCAAAGCTCTGCGATGCTTCGCAGCCGAGCATGGCAAACGGCTTGTGGACGTTTCCCTGCAAGAGGTGCAGGAGTCGGACCTCGGAGTGGCCGGTTGGGCGGCCAAATTCGAGACGGTGCCCGCTGCACAACCGAAGGCGGGCGGTGACGGCAGTGCCGGCGGTAAGGCCAACGGTGGCCTTAAGAGGCCCACGCCGACGGTGGAGTCGGATGGGGCTGGAGCGGTTGGAGATGAGAACAAGCCTCCGCCGAATGAGGGCACGGAGAAGAAGAAGCCACGCGGCGGGAATGGGAACTTGGCTGGGAAGAAAGAGAAGGAGGTGAAAGAGCTGTTGGCCCAGGAGCAGTCATCAGACAACGCCATGAGCTCGATCACGATCGAGATGAGCAAGGGCGATTCCGCTTCGTGGGCTTGGGCGAGTGGCTTTGTGAAAAGCTACAAGGATTGCCGGGTGCAGGTGCTGCAGCTCTACGCCGATAATCCGTTCTTTCAGTCCATGAAAGTTGCCGTGCTTTCTGCAAAGGAGCTGCAGAGAGTGAAGAAGGAATACAAGGATCAATATTTGCCCAAGTTGTGCGACTTCGTGAGCACGATGGGCCCGAAGATCTCTGCTATGGCAGAGGCTAGTGTACAGCTACAACAGATGGCCCACGCCAAGAAGAATGCCTCTGAGAGTCTTAAATCTAGCCCTGCCCCCAAGGCAAAAAGCAAGAGTAAAAAAAACCTGGCCCGATCGGCCTCCACAAGAAGCATCGGCTCCGCCTGATCGCTTCGCCATGCCTTGGATTTCCGAAGCTTGCTGGGTATAGCACCACAGGCAGCTGTACAGAGGATTCGTGTGGCCGAATCGTATAGGGTTATGGGGCTTAGGATTGGGATTCGCCTTAAGGTTTTAGGTGCTTAGGCTCGGGTCGTGACACCCCTAGGACTAGTGACTAATAATAATAAGGTCTATCTCGTCACGACTAAGGTTAGCAACCGGCCAGAACCCCGAAACCCCCGAAAAGCTCCTATTGGGTATCCTGGTAGAAGGCTGACATTGTATTCCTTGGTTTATATATTATAGTCCTACTCCAGAACTTCCCTACTTTATTCTGAGGATCCTCTCTGCTGCTTGTGTGGGTTCGTTCTCACACAACAAAAAGTTGTGCTGAGATGCTTGGGGAACAAAGNNTCCGGGGCAACGCCGTTGAAAGTTCGTTTCGATCTGTGATTGAGTGAGCATCATGCACAGTACCGCTGCAAGCCGCACTATTACTTCGAGCTTTGGCTCATGTCAGAGCCGGATACATATGTAGTGAGGATGGTAGCTGCTTTGTGTGGTCTAGTTCAGGGTCTACAGTTTACACGCTTTAAGTTTAAGGTGCAGGTTTAAGGGTTTCAGGTTTGGGGTTTATGGTGTAGGGTATTGTTTAGGGTACAGGGTTTTTGATAGATTGGGGAGCAGGTTAAATACCTTAGTTGACGGGATGGTGCATGATCGATGAGCTTCAAACGTGCTCGTGCAGCAGACCAAGCCAAAGGTTCCAGTTATCTCGGTCTCGATGAATATGAAGACCCGTTGGCTAATGAAGGCTCGACCGCCGAGGCTGCTAAGAAGTTTAGACGACTGCTGGTTGGGAAGTATTTGGATGGTTCTGCTACGGCAACCGACACCTGTCTGCTTGCCTACTGGCACGTGGAGTCAGGGGGTGAGGGTGCTGAGGATCTGGCATTGAACCCTCGGACCGCTAGTCGTCATTCAGCTGAACATCTGAGGTGAGGGTGTTACCAACAGTTTGTGTTGTGCAAAGCCCAAATTATGTCCTCACGCCGTCAATCCGAACCTTTATTCTCTAGTGCTAAAGTTCCTGCTCTTTTGTCTTTATTTGCCCCAGGTGCCACCTGACTAAAGAATTCCCGGAGCCTGATGTGGAAATGATCTCAGTTCCGATGTATCTGAAGAAGTCTGCTGGAAGGACCCTCGTGCAGCACCCCACCCGTGTGACTTCGATCATGATACGCAATGAGCTGAAGGAGCTTGGTATACTTGGATCCACAGATGCATCTGCTGAGGTTGTGCAAGACTTTCTGAAACAGGACGAGCAGTTAGGGCATCTCTATGAAGGCCATCGTGTCACGATCGAAGCCCTCCGCCAAGGTTTCTCGCGAGAACACATCGTGCCTCTATCGGTATATTTCGACGGGGTCCAGTATTCCAAGAACGAGAACTTTTTGGGGTTTTATGTCACCAACTTACGCACAAAAAAGCAAAGGCTTGTTTGGTTGCTACGTACCCCGACAGCACCCAGTAGTCTTTATAAATTTATAAAGTGTGGTTTGTAGCCTCTACATGTGTGCTTACATGAATGTATATATGTATGTGTGTGCACGTGTATGCTATGGGATTGTTTGCCCCGCTCTTAAACTTTAAGGTCTAGGTCTAGAATCTAGAAAGCGAAAGTTTGTGTAAGTGTATGTGTCTGGATGTTATGGTGTCTGTGTGTCTAGGGATGTATGAAAAATACTCGTGTGTTGGTTCTAAACTTGGTCTCTGTATAATACAATGTAGATTGTGTCCTGGCTGAAAACAAAACTTGAATCGTAGATCACGACCATATATCAGGATTATCGGAACTGTGTGGCTGTGGCTGCAGAGGCTGGTGTTCAGTGTTTCCATTATTGGAAGCATTCAAGCGAGATTTGACTGAACAACATCCGGATTTGAGAATGCCGATCATTGACTTCAAGGCTGATTGGGCTGCTTTGGTGGAGATAGCTGCTTTGAGAACTTGGTCCCATAATCATCACGCCTGTCCTTGTTGTCTGGTCAAGAGAGCCCAGCTGCAATCCATCGACGGCTTCAGTGCCAAATCGTGCCCGTTCCCGTTGTATGACGAAAGCAGTTACGACTCTACTTTGTCCAAGAACTTCAAGGATCTTTGTCATCGAACACTAGTATAGCTTAGATGGTTTATAGGTTTATGCATTTTCATCATTCTATTCTATTGATGAAGCCGAGCCATATAATAGTGTTTGTGTGGTGTCTCCGTATTCTGCATAGCGAATTCACACAATGTTCTTCGTCAATCGAGGAGGTCACGATTCCGGATGTACATGTTCAACAGCAGATCTCGAAGCTTCTTTGCTATCGCAAGAAAGGCCGTGGACGCTGCTTGCAAAAAGCATTCGATCAGCTAGGACTTCCGAAGATGGCCAGATTGGAGCCTTCTACACTTTTGCAAGATGTGGGGTCTTTCGAACAAAAGCAGTGTCCGTTCCGCTGCATTTTTTATGTGGCCGGGGAACATGGCCGTGTTTTGCATATGTCTCCGCTGCTGCAGATCCCAGGAGTCAGCTTGAACACGTGGGGTATCGACATATTACACACGTGGCACTATGGACCCATGTCTACTTATCTGACATTTACTCTTCGTGCTTTGCTGAACACGGAGATCTACAAGCCTGGCAATTCGGCAGTGCTAGACAAGGAAGAAAATGACAAGCTTTGTTTGATGGCCCTCAAGGCAGAATTATGGATGTTCTACAAGCACAGACGTGCCACAGACAAGGAGTGGAGCAAGAAAGGTTCTGAGGTGGGGCGGAAATAAACGATCATTAAAACTTACAACACGACAGTCCTAAGT